TCTTCTTTATCTCTTCACCGTTCTCTTATTTTATTCTTTTCATTTTTTTCCTTCTAATTTGGAAACTCACCTGCTTTCTCAGTGATCTTATGGAGCAAGCTTATGTCACAGGCTCATTAGGATTGAAACATGCCTGTAATCCTGGGTGGACCAGTCTGGTAGCCACTAACCACGTGTGCATTAGTTAGTGTGGCTGGTCTGAAATGAGATTTGCTGTCAGAACAAAATGCACACCAGATTTAGAAAACTTGATTCAAAAGAATGGAAAACATCTCATGAATACGTTATCTTATATTAATTACAGGTTGAAAGGACAATATTGTGGCTATGTTGGGTTAAAGAAATATATTGTTAATTTCATTGATTTGTTTTCACTTATTTAATGTGGCACTAGAAAATTTAAAAGAATGTGTTTGGCCGATAGTATAATTCTAAAGATCAGTGTTGCTTGAATGTCTTAACAGCTATATTTTTTACATTGCTATACATATAAAGACTGCATTAAAAGCTCAACTTGGGTGAAACATCCCAAAATGAATCCTCCATTTCTTTTTCCTCTATCATGTCCCATGTTCCCAAGTTATTCTTATTTTTCCTTTTCTTTAGGAGGCTAAAAGAAAGGGGGACATTATCTTTTTAGATTCAGAAATAAATGTAAGACAAGTGCGTTTAAACGTAACGTGTATGGAAGAAAAACTGAAAGTAAGCAAGACTGCTGGTAGACAATCTGTTAACAAAACACAGTAATATATACACCTGGACAAGCATCAGTCCCACGAGGAAACCCAGCAGCTTTAATTACTTCACCTACAGGCACTACACTGAGAATTGTTTCTTTCCACTTGAGTGGAAGCACGCTGCTATGCCAGAGTGAGCTGTCAGGAGTTTTGCTTCTCTTAGGCTAGACAGTCTTCAGAGGTTCACTTTTATATGTGTTATGTAAATGATAATTAATACATGTAGCACACTGACAACAATAATGAGCACAGGTTTGGGAGTCGGAGTGGTCTAGGTTTGCTTCTGGCTGTGTTCTTTGCTACCCCACTGGCCGTGGGCCAGCAGCTTCACCTCTGGAACCCCACCTGCTACTATGAGAAATAGGAACAAGAGGACCACGGCTTGTGATGATCACCAGCCTGCCTCTGCTCCTTGCCACTCTCCATTCTAAATTTTTTGAAATCGGCTCTGCAAATAGGACTGGGTCTCTGCCTTTTGCCAAAGGAATTTTATTCCTCGGGGCGTTTGCTGCAGCTGTTAATACCTTACTTGGGTTGCCTGCATCTTAGATCGGAGTGCTTGGATTCCAGTCTTGGCTCTGCTCTCTAGTCTAGCTTCCTGCTAATGTGTGCCCTGGAAGGCAGCAGGTGATGCCTCAAATACTGGCTCCCTGCCACCGCATGGGAGACCCAAACTGAGTTCCCAGGTCCCTGCTTCATCCTGGCCCACCTCTGGCTGTTGCCGGTATTTAGGGAGTGAACCAGTGGATGGAAGATGTCTCTTGGTATGTCTCTTTCTTTCTCTCTTTCAAATAAATAAAAGAAATTATAAAAAAGAAATGTTATTCCTCACTTCAAGCCTCCCGTAAAGAACTCAGAGGGGACTAAGCTGTGCATTTGATGCATGTCCTCTGCAGTTTGTATGAACCTGAGGACTTGTCTCTGACCTACCCTGCTGAACTGTCAGAGTGGAGAACTACGGCTTGGGGAAGGAGAGCAGGCTGGTGAGCGAACGCCTGTACTGTGCAGGCAAATGATATCTGCGTACTTCCTGCAGATTCCTTGTAGGTAGGGAAAACCAACCATGACTTCTTGGAAAGGGACTTTGTCCCAGGGAACCAACCTGGTCCCAGCTGTGAGGCACTCTTTCCAGAAGGCCGAAAACCAGGCCTTGCAGGGAGGGAGGGTTTCAGGTGCTGAGGAATCCTCCAGGACCCTTGGAGGAGTCATCTTTTAAACACCCATCAACCCACAAGAGTCCCACTACAGAGTTAGCTTCTTCCTGGAGGACAGAGCCCCCCCGTGCTTAACATGAGCCCCCTGTGCTCACCCTTCTCCAGGTGCATTTAAACATAACGTATATGGAAGAAAAACTGAAAGTAAGCATTTCAACTCGTTTCACATGTCAATGGCCTTCCTTGGGCAGGCCCCTAAACTCTTCTCTTCCTGAAGCCTAGGCTGGGACCTGTCTTGGGAGCCCCTGGTCTCCTCTAGTTCCTGTTTCATGCACACTGTCCTCAGCCTCACGGGGGCCTTAGCCAGGTAAAGAGAAGATACTCTTTAAGAAGAGCATCAAGTGGGGCTCACATTAGTCAGCAAGAATTTGTGCCTATCCGCTGTATTAGCCAGCACTGCGGGGGAAACTTCAGCACAGCAGAGAACACAGTGGCTTATGGGGTAAGCCCACCATATTAAGCTGGCCTAAGCTTAAAGACTAATTCTGGAACAGACGGAGGAGACCAAGAGGGTATGGGGGATGAGGAAATATTCTGAGTGACATTTTAATAGATGCCCATAGTGCAGTGTTAAAAAAAAAAGACAGAATAAAAATTAAGTGCCAAGAGCATGGAAAGAACTGAAGCCTGCCCTGAGCCTGGGAGTTTGGAGTGGCTTCAGGTCAAAGTTCGTACTCTAAGAAGCTGTAGGAGGTAGATATCTGCAGAAAAGGGGCTGGGGGTTCCATTTTTTGGAAAATATGTTGGTAACTAAGGTAAGGCACTGAGGAGGGAAAGTTGGGATGATAGGTGGGCTGGATTGTGAAGCTCTGAAATGCCAACGGGAGGGAGTCCAATGCCCGCGGGAAGTGTATGGGGTGAAAGGATGTTTTGGGGGGAGCTTCTTAGTGTGTTCAAGTTCTCACTGCATTTTTTGTGTTGAGATGATCAGAGAAGTCATGACAGATTATGTGGAGATAGGAAGGGAGTTAAGAAGGGAAAACAACAGAGAAAATGCCTCCTTCTTCTCTTCTCCCCAAATGCCTAGATTACATTACAAACACATTTGGATTTTAAGATAAAATCTTTATGGGTAATTAAGATTTTAAATGCATCAAAAGTGTTTCAATTGGAGGTGCCTGCTTAGGTATCCCAAGATAAGGGTTCAGGTTTCATCTCCCTTTCTCTGGGCTGGTGTTGTGGCTCAAGGGGTTAAGCTGCTGCCTGTTACACCAGCGTCCCATATTGAAGCACTAGTTCAAGTCCCAGCTGTTCTTCTTCTGATCCAGCTCCCTGCTAATGTGCCTGAGAAGGCAGTCCTGCCACCCACATGGACGACCGCGATGCAGTTCCAGGCTCCTGGCTTTGGACTGCACCAGCCCTGGCTGTTGTGGCCTTAAGAGGAATGAACCAGTAGATGCAAGACCTCTCTCTCTCTCTTGCTCCCTTTCTATTGCTCTACCTTTTAAAATAAATAAATTTTTAAAACAGTAACAACAAATCTCCCCTTCCGCTCAGACCAGGTGTAAAGTTTGGTTCGCTAGCAGCACAGTACCACTAAGGGTGCAATCATAAATCCAACCATGCATCCCCCCACCCAACCACCCACCTATAATGCATACATAAGCAGCATTTTTTGGAATGTTCACCATGTGCCAGCTACAATGGTATGTGCCTGAATTGCAACAGTGAATGCAACTGTTCTTGCTAGTGTGTCAGCGTACTGGGGATGGAGAAGATAATGAGAGAGAAGGGTGAACTTCTGATAATTGTTACAGCCAGGAGATTATTCATATGGTAATATTTAGGGGCTCCTTATACCATTTCTCCGGGTTTTGTTATGTTTGATCATCTTCATGATAAAGTTAGATGAAAAAAAGTCTGCCCTGCCTGTGAAGCAGGAGAACTGGATTTGACAGTTGCCCATATGACAAGGGCAAGTCCAGCTATGAGTTACACTCTAGGGTATTCATGAAGGCGAAGTCCCGGCGGCAGAGGTGGGGAAAGTGGTTGGGAAGAACTCACTGTACAGGCCCGACTCCATCTCAGGCTGGGTTTGGAGATGCTCATAGGTCAAGGTCTGGAGTGAGGAACCAGCTCGGCCACCCTGCTGTCGCTTTGTCTACATCCTCTTTCTTTTCTTTCTTTCTTTTTTGTTTTTTTTTTTTTGTTTGTTTGTTTGTTTTTTTTTTTGTTTAAAGTCGGCAGAGGTAAGTAGATCCTCCGATTCGACCAACATTTCCTGGGCATCCACTGTGTATCAGGCACTGTACACAAGCTTCAGGTGAGATGGTGCCTGCACCACGTCGAAGGAATTCCTCCAGCCCTGGGGAACAATCAGGCTAGGATGGGCGAGCATCCAGTCCTTCCAGCTCCAAGTATGGGATAGAGGACGGAAACTTGGGATCGGGCAGTTGCAGGTTCAAATCCCAACTCCCTTCCTGGCTTCGAGCAGGTCCCTGAACCGCCCCACCCCCTCCCGCAAAGGACTCAATTTCTCCATCTGTAAGAAGGGTGCAGGAAAGCCATGCACGGTTGTCGTAAGCATCCGAGATTCTGACTGTCGAGATCCTAGCACGAAGCGGAGGCTCCGTAAATGGCAGCCATCATTCTTGGCCAAGTGCGGGTGCATCCTCCCGGGCGCGCCTCCCGCGGCGTCCCTCGGGGGCAGGCTGGGCACGCCTCCGCGGCCTCGGTCTCCCGGCAGGTGGCCCAGCATCTCGGTGCCCACGCCCCGAAGCGCGCGGGGAGCGCGGGCGGGTTAGGTGACGGTCTCCGCCGGAGGACCACCCCCTCCCATCCACGCGTCCCGCGCAGGTGAGGTTTCCGGCCCAGGCCACGGGGACAGCGACCGCAGGGGAGGTCGAGAGGGAGAGCTCAGCCCTAGGCCAACAGGGGGCTCCTAAGGGCGCCCTCGCTCTGGTGCAGGTTCACCCCAGGGCCAGCCCCAGCGCCGGGGCCCGCGGGCTGAGCGCTCTGCGGCTGCGAAAACCCGGAGAGGCGGATCGGAGCGCGCTCGCAGCCAACTCCTCCGCGGTCCGGCCACCGAGCTGGGCATGCTCAGTGCGGCCGCCGCGCCGCTGTCCGCCAACTCGGAAGCTCGCGCTCCCGGGCCGTGGGGGCGAGAACGCCGGCGGCGAGCCGGCGTCGCTCGCCGCCCCCAGACAGCCGCAAACTTCGCGGCGTCCCCGGAGCTCGTCCGGGCGAGGTGGATCACAAATAAGATCCAATCCAATCCCCCCTTCCCAACCCGAAGGATGGAGGCTGCGGCCGCAGGAGTGCCCCCGCCGCCGCCGGCCCCTGCCCGCTAGCCAGGGACCAACAGGTAAACTGTTAGGGGTGGGGTGGGGGTGGGGAGGGAGGAGGCGCCGAGGCCGGGGAGGGCGGCTGGCTGGAGGAGCCCGGCACGCCTGCGGCTGGCCGCCCCCGTCGGCGCTCTCAGCCATCCCCACCCCGCCGGAGCCCCCATCCCAGCCCCTGGAGGGGGCAGCAAAGGGTTAAGTCGGCCCCGCGCCACGGTGAGCACGGCCCCCTCCAGCTGCCGCGGCCGCTGCGACCGCCAGCAGCGCGCCTCGGCGCCTGCCCGGAGCCGCTGAGGGGGACCCCAGCCGCGGATGCGCCACCGGAGCCTGGCGGGCGTCTAGGAGGCACCGGCCGCTTCCACCGTCCGAATCCCCGTCTCCCCGAGCCTGTTCTGGCCTCCTGCCCTCCGCACCGGCCGGGTCGGAGCCCAGGTGGCGGGGTCTTACAGGGCGCTTGGCGGCCGGGGGAGGGTCCCCGACGAGGAAGAGGGGCGGGGGCGGGCCGCTTTGCAGCCTCTTCCCCGGGGATCAGGGCCACCCTCGCCTGGGACGAGCACTTGAGCCACCGCTCCTAGGCGCCAAGAAAGTTTTTTTTTTTCTTTCTTCCCCCCTTCGTGCCCCTCCCCCACGCCCATCCTGCGCCCAGCTGAGGTGGGTTTGGGTCCATTGGTGAAAAAAGTCACACGTTCCCATCAGCTGCTCCTCCCCCTGGGGACAGGGTGGAGAGGGGTGGGCGGGAGGCAGGCGCCGCGGAGGACCCTGGCAGACCTCCAGCCCCTCGGCCGCCGGCACCGGAGCGGTGCGTCCCGGGGCCCGAGCGCAGCCGGTGCCCGCGGAAGGCTGCCCCCATCAGCTCGTGTCTGCGTGCCCGGCACGGCAGCATCCAGCCTGCTTTATTCCTGCCTGCAGCGCCACAGCGAGCGAGCGAGCGAGCGGAGGGGGAGAGAGGGAGTCTGTCTGCAAAGTGCTGCTCCCTGGTGCTCAGAGGCGGCTGCTCCAACTCTCATTCATTTCGCCGGTTAACATGAGAGATCATGGCCGCCTTCGGGCTTCTCAGCTATGAGCAGAGACCGCTGAAGCGCCCCCGGCTCGGGCCGCCCGACGTCTACCCGCAGGACCCCAAGCAGAAAGAGGTAAGGGCGCCGGCGGCCTCCGCGGCTACCGGGGCCGCGCTCCGCAGCGCTGACCCGGGGCCAAGTTGGCCCGGCGGGCATCGCCGGCGCTGCGGGGGAAGGGTCGGGGAGCGGGATTGGAGGCGGGGGCCGGGCTGAGGGGGCTCCGGGACCCCGGGCGACGGAGACCGAGCGGTTGTCAGTCCCGGCGCTCCACGGGGGCGCTCGCTCTTCGGGTGCCGGGTCGCTTCCCGGTTATCGGGCCTTGCACGGCGCCGCCAGGCGCTTCGCTGGCGGCTTCCTTGCCGAAACCCCTCTGCTCGTTCTCCTCCGCTTTTAAGTGCTTTATTTTTTTTTTCTCCGCCGCTTCAGTAAATCCCCGTAAACTTTTTGAAAAATGTTGGAATGCAGTGCCTCCGACACCGAGGTCTTGGCGTTTTGCGCCAGCCGAGCAGGGACGGAGGTGGGGGGGATCTTCCAGTTTCCCAGTTGGGAATGGAAGTCGGTTTTTTTGTTTGTTGGTTTTTTTTAGAGGTGATGAATATTTAGCCCTCTGAATGTACCTCTGGATATCTTCTCCTCTTTAAAAATCAGTATTAAAGAGAAACACTGATTTTCATCCCTAGAGGCGATAGGCTTAATTGCGGGAGGCTGTTTTGTATACGGAAAAGCTGGGAGTTACCTTGGAAGGGAATAGGTCCCAGGATTGCTTATTTCTTTGAATGAAATTAATTGGAGAAACCTTGACTCTTGTACCAGGTACACCAGCTTCAAAGGCTAGGGTAACCATGGCATTTTGTAGCTATGTATGTGTTTGCCAGGAGTTAACAAGTAATTATGTAACAACTCTCCAGTTATAATAATGACCACCCTAGGCTTCACAATTTGCCCAGGGACTTGGCTTTTTTTTTTTTTTTTAAATCACCTGCTTCCCAGCTGTGCTTCTGGAGTTGCCAGCTGCAGCCCATCCGTTCTGTTTAAACACCAACTTACCACATCTCACAACTTATTTGGGAATTAAAAAGAAAAATTCCTCTATTAAAGTTTATAGGCCCACTGATAGTGCAGAAAGAGCTTTGTAATAAGGCCAGGGGCCTTAAGACTTCCGTTGTGATAAATGTATCTGTCTCGTTGATAGAGGAAGAATGCTTGTTCTGGCTACAGTGCTTCGCTCCTAATGCATCTGAGAAACCAGGAGCACTGGTTCCTCTCCCAGGTTTGGCACGCTAAATTTCAGCACCAGTGGAATAATTCAGATTGAAGCGGAGGTTTACACGTGGCTCCCAGGAGCGGCTTCACAGGGTGAGATAAGAATGAGATTTGGCAGATTCTTCTGTACCCTTTTGCTCACTCTGCTACCCCTACTCAGAATGGAGACCCCTACTCAGAATGGAGAAGGTCTGGGAATGGTCATAGAGACACTAAGAACCCCAAGTAAAGAAAGTTCGTAAGGCAAAATTACTGGCGGGTTATGCTTGAAGTTTTGGTGAGGACAGGAACATTCATTGATTTGGTCTTTGCCAATTTGTAATTAGTGCCTTTCCAGGGACAGCATTGTTGGGGGTAAGCTCCTCAGATAGGGGATGGCAGCTTGTGATGCCACGTGAATTTTTTTTTTTTTTTTAGCAACAGTTCTTCAGGTCAGCTCTCATTTCAGGATTGGGGTTTCTGTGATTCTGGAAAGAATAATTTTGAATTTTAAGGTCTTACAAAAATTTTATGGTGTTCTAAAACCGGAAATGCCCTTAGAGACTATGTTCTATAACTTTGGATGAAGTAAAACAGAGGCTGGGGAAGCTTCACTGATTTAATCAGGGAGCTTGAATGAGCAGAGGAGTTGGGTAGCCAAACCAGTCTTTATGTCAAAACCAACACTGCATTGAGGATATTTTATGCTGTGTTATGTTCCTCTGATATTACTCCCTTTCCCCCAAGGCAGCCTGTGTTTGCTGTCTCAGGAACAGTCAGAGTTATGTGTGGCTGTAGCCACATTTGGATCCCATGTGGAACAGGTGCTCAGCTGTTCTTGGGTGGTTGGTTAGCAGAGTTTCTGAAGCTTCAGTTATTTACGTAATCCCTCCCTCAGATTCCCATCCTATCCCTTTTATTCTATTATTGCCTTTATGTTAACTTTTAGGCAACTTTTTGTGTGTGCTAGGCAGTTAATATACACGAAGTCATAGATTTATCACAGTATGTATATGGATGTCTGAAACTCAGACCAAGTCATGTATATATATTATGTATCATTTTGATACATTGATTTGCTATTATAAACACAAATACCTGCAAATGATGATGCATATTAAAAGGAGAGCAGCATGAAGAGGTTAATTTGGAGGTTAATGAAGAGCTTCTGAGGTTAAGAGGTAACTAAGGGTAAGAGGCGCATCTGTGCATCTGAAACCACTGTTGCAGCTCATCAGCCAGCTGTGCCGCACATGGTGAGAAATGCTGATTTCATGGGGGGAAGTGTAGGCTTCCAAGTTGGTCAGACCTGGATTTGGATTCTGGTTTGAGGTTAGTAACTTTGGGTAAATTGCATGGCTTCTCATTTGTAAATGAGTTTAATTGTGCTTTTCCAGAAAAAAAAAAATTGTGAGCCAACGTTTGTGAAAGCAAACCCCTCCTCCTAGTCCAAGCTAATCTTTTTACTGTAGCTCTAGTTTTTGTTGGTCCCCAGTGGTATTAGTGTTGTGGAGAGAGGCTGCCAGAGGGAGGGGTGGGACCCTGAGTGAGGACCCGCTGTAGAGAAGTAGGGGGTGCTGGTGACGGACAGTCCCTAGAGAGCTTGCTGTGCAGCCGCATCCTGGAGGACTTCAGTATCTGTTGTGTTGTACTGCTTTGCCCTCTGGAAACAGACTGTCCTTAGGCTTCTAAGTCAGAGTCAACTTTGATTTCTGCCCTTCCCTTACACTGTGCCCGTCCATCAACACCTGTTTTCCAGTGCAGTTCCCAAATATATTTCCAGTCCATCCAGTGCTCCCCAGTTTCACTGATGTGTTTGGCTTCCTTTCTGGCTTCAGACTGACTTCTGTGTGCCCCAGGGTTCTTGGATATGCTGGTCTGTCTGCCTGGACACCTGTTTGCCTACCCACCTCCTACACTGAACATTCCAGCTTGCTCCTTCTCACCTTGGCCTGTAGTTAGGAATCTGGGCTCCGGAGTCAGTCTGCCTGGGCTGGAATCCTGGCTCTCCTGTTTGTTTACTCCTTTTTCTCCCCATACTTCAGTTTCTTTCTTTGTAGAATGGGAGTGATAATACTACTTACCCCGCAGCACCATTGAAAGAGGACATGGCCAATACATGTAACACTGAGAGTTTGGCATAGATCTGGCACCCAAATATTTGCTGTCATGAACTTCTGCTGGGCTTGCCCTCTCTTCATTATTCACGTCTCAGTGGACTGAGCTCAGGCCTTTCTGGCTTATCATTTGTTAACGATCAGGGTATGCGCATCTTGCCACACCCCCTAACTTCCTCTCACTAATGGGACAGTTTTGGGAGGCAGGAGCAAAGTCTGTTTGAGGCAATGCTGGGGGGTACCTGGCACATAGCACAGTTAGCTCCTGGAAGGCTGCATGGATGCTGAATTCATCCATTCCAAATAGAATGGATGAAGGAAGATAGGGTGAATTAATTGAAAAGGGAAATCTGGTGACTGAGGGGTGTTGGGGGAAAGCCTGGGTCAAGGCTGAAAGTATCCTTTGCATCTGCCTTGGAGGCTACAAGACTGACAGTGAAATTAAACCCTGGAGGTAGGGAAGAGGAGCGTTACCCGTTACCCTTGGAGAGCAGAGCAGATAAATAGGTGCAGGACATCATATTGGCTACAAGAATAGGTTGGGGTAGTAATGAGATCTTCAGGCCTTAGGAGCCATGGAATCCCACCAGCACGCTCCCCGGGGAGGTGTGTCAAGTGGGGCCTGCCCAAGGACGAGGTGGTGGCGATGGTGGTGTCTGTGTGTGGAGGACCCAGAGCATTGGTTTCTACAGTTCCCAGGTTCCTGGAGGACTGGGGTGAATATCCAGATCACATGGAGAGCTTGTGCTGAAGTGATGGCTGGATCGCTCCAATTTAGTAGGTCTCAGCTGGGACTCGAACTTGCATTTCTAACAAGAGCTCCAGGTGATTGGATGCTGTTCCGGGTCCCACTTGGAGAACCCTGACCTGGAGGGAAGAAGGCCTCCTGTTCTGCAGGTGTTGGGCATCCTGCTTGATGCTGGCATGGCTGGAGTGGGCATCTGCGAGTGTCTGACGCTGTAGGTTGGTTGAGAGCTGGCTTAGCCAGGGTTTGGCGTGCTTCTCCCAGAAGTTGTGCTTCCTCGTAGCTAAGATCTACGGGATATAGGGAGGCTCTCTCAGTCCCACTCCCGTGTCTTTCCGTTACACTTGGAAGAAAATCCAGACCCTTTTCCAGGGCTTGTAGGGCCTGACCAGCCTGGCCCTTGCTCACTTCCACCCACACTGTGTGCAGCCAGACAGCCTGGCTCTGAGTTCCGGCTCCTTTGCTTAATGCCTGTTTGACTCTGCTTCCTCACCTGCTGAACGGGTTCATCTGTGTTCCTACTGCACAGGGCTGCAGGGAAGCTGGAATGAGCTAATATATGCAAAGTGTGATGAACTGTGCCTGGCACGCAGATGGCCCTCACTACAGGTCAGCTGCTACTAGCAGATCCTTTGTGAAAGGATCCCAGGGCCTCCCATTGTACTTAGAGCAAGACACACAACACCCTGCCCTTTGAGATCTAGGCTTCCAGGCACCCCATTCCCGGCTGTGCGGTGGGACCGCTGGCTGCCTCTCCTTTCTTGTGGCAGGCCCAGCTCCTTGGTGTCCGGGTTCCTGTGCCTTGCTCTCGCTGCAGTCCCGTTCCCCGTCGTCTGGCTCTTAGCTCCGGGACTTCCTGGAGGGAGGCCTTCCTTGCAGTCAGTCTTCCTCCTCTCCGCCCATTTCTTAGCCTGTGTTAATAGGTTTTATGGTGCTTGTCGCTGTGTGAAGTGCAACTGGGAGGAGGCTTA